ACTTATACGTGCAGTAAAGGATCTCTGTACACTCTCTAGATCTGCGATTTCACCTGCTTTGTATGGAGATGTTAATGTACAGCAGTATTCCAGCCTAGAGAGAACAAGTGATTTGAAAAGGATCATCATGGGCTTGGCATCTCTCGTTTTGAAAGTTCTCATTATCCATCCTATCATTTTCTTTGCACGTGCGATCGTGGCACTGTTGTGATCCTTGAAAGTGAGATCCTCAGACATTACTACTCCCAGGTCCCTTACATTATTTTTCCGCTCTATTGTATGGCCGGAGTCAGTAGTATACTCTGTCCTAGTTATTATCTCCTCCAGTTTTCCATAACGGAGTAGTTGGAATTTGTCCTCATTGAACATCATATTGTTTACCGTTGCCCACTGGAAAACTTTGTTTATATCTTCTTGGAGGTTAACCGCGTCCTCAGCAGATGACAGCCTCATGCAGATCCTAGTATCATCCGCAAAGGATGATACGGTGCTGTGGTGTATATCTCTGTTTATGTCTGATATGAGGATGAGGAATAAGATGGGGGCGAGTACTGTGCCTTGTGGAACAGAGCTCTTCACTATGGCAGCCTCCGATTTAACTCTGTTGACCACTACTCTTTGTGTTCGATTTGTTAGGAAGTTGAAGATCCATCTCCCCACTTTCCCAGTTATTCCTTTAGCACGTATTTTATGGGCTATTACGCCATGATCGCATTTGTCAAATGCTTTTGCAAAGTCTGTGTATATTACATCTGCATTCTGATTTTCTTCCAGTGCATCCAAGGCCATGTCATAGTGATCCAGTAGTTGTGAGAGGCAGGAGCGACCTGCCCTGAACCCATGTTGCCCTGGATTGTGCAGATTTTGGGAATCCAGGTGATTTGCAATCATGCTTCTTAGCACTCTTTCAAAGATTTTTATGATGTGGGATGTCAGAGCTATTGGGTACACATATTGGGTACACATATGAGGAATACTCAGTCAGTGGAGGCTGGGGTACACACATGAGGAATACTCAGTCAGTGGAGGCTGGGGTACACACATGAGGAATACTCAGTCAGTGGAGGCTGGGGTACACACATGAGAAACACTGAGTCAGTGGAGGCTGGGGTACACACATGAGGAACACTCACTGAGTCAGTGGAGGCTGGGGTACACACATGAGGAACACTCACTGAGTCAATGGAGGCTGGAGTACACACACGAGGAACACTGAGTCAGTGGAGGCTGGGGTACACACACGAGGAACACTCACTGAGTCAGTGGAGGCTGGGGTACACACATGAGGAACACTCACTGAGTCAGTGGAGGCTGGGGTACACACACGAGGAACACTGAGTCAGTGGAGGCTGGGGTACACATGAGGAACACTCACTGAGTCAGCGGAGGCTGGGGTACACACACGAGGAACACTCACTGAGTCAGTGGAGGCTGGGGTACACACATGAGGAACACTCACTGAGTCAGTGGAGGCTGGGGTACACACACGAGAAACACTCACTGAGTCAGTGGAGGCTGGGGTACACACATGAGGAGCACTCACTGAGTCAGTGGAGGCTGGGGTACACACATGAGGAATACTCAGTCAGTGGAGGCTGGGGTACACACATGAGGAATACTCAGTCAGTGGAGGCTGGGGTACACACATGAGGAACACTCACTGAGTCAGTGGAGGCTGGGGTACACACACGAGAAACATTCACTGAGTCAGTGGAGGCTGGGGTACACACATGAGGAACACTCACTGAGTCAGTGGAGGCTGGGGTACACACATGAGGAACACTCACTGAGTCAGTGGAAGCTGGGGTACACACATGAGGAACACTCACTGAGTCAGTGGAGGCTGGGGTACACACACGAGGAACACTCACTGAGTCAGTGGAGGCTGGAGTACACATGTAAGGAACACTGAGGCAGTGGAGGCTGGGGTACAAACATGAGGAACACTCACTGAGTCAGTGGAGGCTGGGGTACACACACGAGGAACACTCACTGAGTCAGTGGAAGCTGGGGTACACACATGAGGAACACTCACTGAGTCAGCGGAGGCTGGGGTACACACACGAGGAACACTCACTGAGTCAGTGGAGGCTGGAGTACACACATGAGGAACACTCACTGAGCCAGTGGAGGCTGGGGTACACACATAAGGAACACTCACTGAGTCAGTGGAGGCTGGAGTACACACACGAGGAACACTCACTGAGTCAGTGGAGGCTGGAGTACACATATAAGGAACACTGAGGCAGTGGAGGCTGGGTACACATATGAGGAATACTCAAGTCAGTGGAGGCTGGGGTACACACATGAGGAATACTCACTGAGTCAGTGGAGGCTGGAGTACACACACGAGGAACACTCACTGAGTCAGTGGAGGCTGGAGTACACACATGAGGAACACTCACTGAGTCAGTGGAGGCTGGAGTACACACATGAGGAACACTCACTGAGTCAGTGGAGGCTGGGGTACACACATGAGGAACGCTGAGTCAGTGGAGGCTGGGGTATACACATGAGGAACACTCACTGAGTCAGTGGAGGCTGGGGTACACACACGAGGAACACTCACTGAGTCAGTGGAGGCTGGGGTACACACATGAGGAACACTCACTGAGTCAGTGAAGGCTGGGGTACACACATGAGCAACACTCACTGAGTCAGTGGAGGCTGGGGTACACACATGAGCAACACTCACTGAGTCAGTGGAGGCTGGAGTACACACATGAGGAACACTGAGTCAGTGGAGGCTGGGGTACACACATGAGGAACACTGAATCAGTGGAGGCTGGGGTACACACATGAGGAACACTCACTGAATCAGTGGAGGCTGGGGTACACACATGAGGAACACTCACTGAGTCAGTGGAGGCTGGGGTACACGCATGAGGAACACTCACTGAGTCAGTGGAGGCTGGGGTACACACATGAGGAACACTCACTGAATCAGTGGAGGCTGGGGTACACACATGAGGAACACTCACTGAGTCAGTGGAGGCTGGGGTACACACACGAGGAACACTCACTGAGTCAGTGGAGGCTGGGGTACACACATGAGGAACACTCACTGAATCAGTGGAGGCTGGGGTACACACATGAGGAACACTCACTGAGTCAGTGGAGGCTGGGGTACACACATGAGGAACACTCACTGAGTCAGTGGAGGCTGGGGTACACACATGAGCAACACTCACTGAATCAGTGGAGGCTGGGGTACACACATGAGGAACACTCACTGAGTCAGTGGAGGCTGGGGTACACACATGAGGAACACTGAGTCAGTGGAGGCTGGGGTACACACATAAGGAACACTCACTGAGTCAGTGGAGGCTGGGGTACACACATGAGGAGCACTCACTGAGTCAGTGGAGGCTGGGGTACACACATGAGGAACACTCACTGAGTCAGTGGAGGCTGGGGTACACACATGAGGAACACTCACTGAGTCAGTGGAGGCTGGGGTACACACATGAGGAACACTCACTGAGTCAGTGGAGGCTGGGGTACACACATGAGCAACACTCACTGAGTCAGTGGAGGCTGGGGTACACACATGAGGAACACTCACTGAGTCAGTGGAGGCTGGGGTACACACATGAGGAACACTGAGTCAGTGGAGGCTGGGGTACACACATGAGGAACACTGAGTCAGTGGAGGCTGGGGTACACACATGAGGAACACTGAGTCAGTGGAGGCTGGGGTACACACATGAGGAACACTGAGTCAGTGGAGGCTGGGGTACACACATGAGGAACACTGAGTCAGTGGAGGCTGGGGTACACACATGAGGAACACTCACTGATCAGTGGAGGCTGGGGTACACACATGAGGAACACTCACTGATCAGTGGAGGCTGGGGTACACACATGAGGAGCACTCACTGAGTCAGTGGAGGCTGGGGTACACACATGAGGAACACTCACTGATCAGTGGAGGCTGGGGTACACACATGAGGAGCACTCACTGAGTCAGTGGAGGCTGGGGTACACACACGAGGAGCACTCACTGATCAGTGGAGGCTGGGGTACACACATGAGGAACACTCACTGATCAGTGGAGGCTGGGGTACACACATGAGGAGCACTCACTGAGTCAGTGGAGGCTGGGGTACACACATGAGGAACACTCACTGAGTCAGTGGAAGCTGGGGTACACACACGAGGAGCACTCACTGATCAGTGGAGGCTGGGGTACACACATGAGGAACACTCACTGATCAGTGGAGGCTGGGGTACACACATGAGGAGCACTCACTGAGTCAGTGGAGGCTGGGGTACACACATGAGGAACACTCACTGAGTCAGTGGAGGCTGGGGTACACACATGAGGAGCACTCACTGAGTCAGTGGAGGCTGGGGTACACACATGAGGAACACTCACTGATCAGTGGAGGCTGGGGTACACACATGAGGAGCACTCACTGAGTCAGTGGAGGCTGGGGTACACACACGAGGAACACTCACTGAGTCAGTGGAGGCTGGGGTACACACATGAGGAACACTCACTGAGTCAGTGGAGGCTGGGGTACACACACGAGGAACACTCACTGAGTCAGTGGAGGCTGGGGTACACACATGAGGAACACTCACTGAGTCAGTGGAGGCTGGGGTACACACATGAGGAACACTCACTGAGTCAGTGGAGGCTGGGGTACACACACGAGGAACACTCGTTGAGTCAGTGGAGGCTGGGGTACACACACGAGGAACACTCGCTGAGTCAGTGGAGGCTGGGGTACACACATGAGGAACACTCACTGAGTCAGTGGAGGCTGGGGTACACACACGAGGAACACTCACTGAGTCAGTGGAGGCTGGGGTACACACATGAGGAACACTGAGTCAGTGGAGGCTGGGGTACACACATGAGGAACACTGAGTCAGTGGAAGCTGGGGTACACACATGAGGAACGCTGAATGTAATGAAATTAATAGAAGACACTTTTACAGGACACCTAACGCACACCCCTTCATTTCACGAGGCTAAAAAAAAATAAATGAAACACGTTTTAATTTATGTTTATTTACAAAAAAAAGTAATATAAAGAATAAATGATATACAGTCTGCAATGTTGCCTTAGTAATCTGTGAGGAAGAAAGTGTGTGTGTTTATAATGTAAGGGCACATAGCAGATGACCTTAAGGTCTACATCAAGACTATATAGTAATCAAGTACAGCGTAGCTGATCACATCGCCACCTTGAAAACCGTAGGTGAAGAAAATTACTATTGCATAATGAAGAATGTGCATACATACTATATAGGAAATTTGAAATTGAACTTACACTGCTGTTGCTACAACTACTGCTGCCACTACCACTATTACTATTTATCAGGGCCGGTTTAGGGGAGGGGCCCCGGGCCCCAACCAGAAGGGGCTCTCCACCAAGTGATGAAAAATATTATGACACACATTATACTGAGAACTGAATAGATCGCAAAAAGAGAAAATGTATGCAAGAGTTTGAATTGTGGTGGGAGTGTCATGTTGAGTCGTCTGATCGCTGGTGTTACATCAAAGGTACGAGAGTGTCATCAGCTGCATGACTAGAGGATGATTCACAGCACATCATCCTGGGTGTGCAGGGCACTGCAGTATGAATGACTGCTTGATCGTGGTCAGTATGTGAACAATAGTGTGGTAGTGAGAACCGGCTACGAACGAGCATGAAGCAAGGGCGGCTTGTGACCCTGAAGGTCATGAGCATAGAATCTGACATCCTGCGCTCGTTGGATTTTGATGGAGTCATCAGAGACTTTTCCATCAGAAAAGCACAGAATGTACATAGCTTATATTTTATCTGATTGAAGATAACTCCTCATAAGTCTGTACATTACTTTTGTGTTACACATGCAAATAAACCGATAGGTTGCTAAAATATACTATAAATTCACTTTATTGATTCATTTCTGCATCTTAAGAGGATGGTACGAATATTGGGAATGGCGAAAGTTTTCCAAGGAGAAACTTAAAAGGGACCCTACACCAAACTGGGTCCCAGGCCCCCCTCCACCTAAATCCGGCACTGCTATTTTTACTACCACTACTATCATGTCGAAGGTGGTCCATGGTCAACCAGTCATCCTGGGTAGTCCATGAACAAACATCAGAGTTCCAGTGGCTGAAGTCAGCCCATGTATTGTATCGAGATGGATCGGACATTTACAAAGTGTTTGACTTACAGGTTCACAAAGAAATGTATTTTTTCTGCGGTCACATCTCTAAAGAACAGTGTGTTCAAGCGTTCTTTGAGTGCAAGACAACTTATAAACACATTTTTCACTGCACTACTTGCCTTGAGGTTTCATGCCGATATTTGGCGTCATTTAAATCGCTTCGCGCTTCGAGTTGTCCTTCGTATTTCAGTGTTATATATATTTGTTTAGTATCTAAAGGTGTAAATGAGATCTCATAGTTTCTGATCCCTTCCTAGTGGAAAACAGGTTTATTGCTCTGAATCTTTCTTCGTTAGGTTTGTTTCTTAGCGAAGATTCGAGGTTGGTGGCTCTTCTCTGCACATCCCAGCATATCTTCGTATTTTATTTAATTCAAGGACCAAAACTGGAGGGTTTAAAACACATGGACAAAGACTGAAGCACATTTCAGAACAATGATGAAACCGCCACGATTGGCTTGTCCAGACCTGAAGAAGCCAAGCGTGGCGAAACGTTACTTGAATTAATGTATCTGAACTGTGCATAAATATCTTTATCCACATACAGTCGGTGTCACCATGGCTACAAGCAATTGTCCTTCCGTCGTAGTAAGTGCACTGTATCTGACTAGCATATCCTCTGACCTGCTCTGCTTTAAGTAACTTCTACATACAAGAGACACGCAAGTCGTGCAGCGAGAACTAATTAAAATCAATAAGTGCTCTCATAACGAGAGCCATGGAGTATTTACACTGGTGGGTATCTATTATTGTTTAAAAGTTTTTTTATGGATGTTTGTGAGTACATTATTAAAGTTATTATTATATTTACAAAAGGCCGTTAAATCCGACTGGATCATTTAGTAGGTTGGATTTGTAATGGGCCTGGCCAGTATGGGCCAACAAGCCTACTGCAGTGTTCCTCCTTTCTTATGTTCTTAAAGATGAATTATCGACTTAACGACCAATGTGCGGCGGTCCTGGAGCCTAGGGGTGGTATGGTTTAGCTGAGGGCAGGTCAACCCAGTAACCATCAGTAGTGTCCATCACTCCCAAAGGTCTGAGTGGATCCTCACGACCAGTCTGAGGCGGCCGCTGGAGATCAGGTTAGGGAAGAGAGTGAGCCCGGTGACCATCAGTAATGTACATCACTCCCAAAGGTCTGAGTGGATCCTCAAGACCAGTCTGAGGTGGTCGCTGGAGATCAGGTTAGGGAAGAGAGTGAGCCCGGTGACCAACTCGACGTCATGCAACTTAGCACTGAACATCTGAGCGTAGCGTCTGGCCGCCTAGGGAAGACATCAAGGATAGTTAATGCAGATAAAAGAGTTATATTCAATTCAATTAAATTCAATTCAATTCAAGTTTATTCTCTATAAGGGTTACAATGTGGGGTTTACAGGTTTTGGGTATTGTGTGGTTTACATGTTATAAAATACTAATTACAGAGGGGGCCACTAGGACACCTAGCCTGGCTAGGCATTTCGAGCAGACTTAGATTAATTCTTAACATAGATGTGAAATGTATAGCTGTAAATGAATTTATACCCGAGAGAGCATCTCTTTAATTATTTTCTCTAAGTGAACTGATCCACATAATATACTTGGTAAGTGAAACTTTCGATTACTTATTATATATATTGAAGAAGATTTTGTGTAAAAGTTATCATCACATCGAACACTTCTTTGTTTATAACAAAAAAAAATGGATTTCAAATGTTAATTATAAGGTTCTATTGTCTTTTATTAATTATTAGTTTTTTTTCATACAAGTTGAACCTTGCTCTTTCTTACCAGTTAACAACAGACTGTGACTGTGGAAAGATGACTTACGAGAATTAACAACAGACTGTGACTGTGGAAAGATGACTTACCAGAATTAACAACAGACTGTGACTGTGGAAAGATGACTTACCAGAATTAACAACAGACAGTGACTGTGGAAAGATGACTTACCAGACAGTTAACAGGCTGTGACTGTGGAAAGATGACTTACCAGAATTAACAACAGACTGTGACTGTGGAAAGATGACTTACCAGACAGTTAACAGACTGTGACTGTGGAAAGATGACTTACCAGAATTAACAACAGACTGTGACTGTGGAAAGGTGACTTACCAGACAGTTAACAACAGCCTGTGACTGTGGAAAGGTGACTTACCAGAGAGTTAACAACATACTGTGACTGTGGAAAGGTGACTTACTAGACAGTTAACAGACTGTGACTGTGGAAAGGTAACTTACCAGACAGTTAACAACAGACTGTGACTGTGGAAAGGTGACTTACCAGAGAGTTAATAACAGACTGTGACTGTGGAAAGGTGACTTACTAGACAGTTAACAACAGCCTGTGGCTGTGGAAAGGTGACTTACCATAGTTAACAACAGATTGTGACTGTGGAAAGATGACTTACCAGACAGTTAACAACAGACTGTGACTGTGGAAAGGTGACTTACTAGAGTTAACAGGCTGTGACTGTGGAAAGGTGACTTACCAGACAGTTAACAGACTGTGACTGTGGAAAGGTGACTTGCCAGACAGTTAACAGACTGTGACTGTGGAAAGGTGACTTACCAGACAGTTAACAACAGACTGTGACTGTGGAAAGGTGACTTACCAGACAGTTAACGACAGACTGTGACTGTGGAAAGGTGACTTACTAGACAGTTAACAACAGGCTGTGACTGTGGAAAGGTGACTTAGCAGACAGTTAACAACAGACTGTGACTGTGGAAAGATGACTTACCAGACAGTTAACAACAGACTGTGGCTGTAGAACGGTGACTTACCAGACAGTTAACAACAGGTTGTGACTGTGGGAATATGAAGGCCATTGAATCAAGTGACTGGTGGGGACAGAAGCTAAGCGAGGCCACAACGTCAGCACAGCGGGTTACTACAGCGAACATATCTGTAGGCAGCGCGGGCATCCTGCCACCACAAGGAACAACCAAATATATAAAAAAAAGATAAAAATACAGATTATATATCACAAAGAGATGCACAAGTCAATGAGACAAGTAAGGTGGAGGTTTTCAGGGAAGCTGGCTATCTGGCTGGAAAGGGGGCTAAGAAATTCTGTTTTAAAGCAGCGTTATTATTATTGTTTTTATTTTATGGGCTTTGAGGGGGCTGAGGGATTTTTTTTTTTTGGGGGGGGTGAATCCCCTCAAATATCCTCCTTGGCGCCGCCACTACATTGATGGTTTACCAAGAGAGGAGGAAGTGGCAGTACCCGATAGTGTGTATGGGGTCGTGGAGAGCGTCATAATCTGCGTCGTACACTGGACCCAGCACCACGTTGAGGAGACCCTGGCTCACCCACCACCCGGGAATCATCTCTCCCACCAGCTGCCACCACCGCTCGGCCAGTTGGTCACTCATACCCACAGAATTGCTCACCAAATACGGCAGATGGTGCCAGGTGGTGTTGCTGGTCGAGATGTGACTCTCGGTCCCTGCCAGGCCTGAGGGCAGAGAGAGAGATGTAGGAAGAGGGCCAAGGACAGACTCAGTTAAGCTAAAACAGGGAAGATTTTAGATTTTGCCACCGAAGTGGCTAGTTTATTGTGTACCCCATATCCATCCTGTGGACGGTAGCGCGAGAGCATATGGATACACAAAAGGCCTAGGAACTAGGCCCCAAAGGGTTAACAGGAATACATATGGATTTATATCTACATATCTATAGTTCACTTATCTGTTACAAGCAAATTTAGGAAATTTGCTTAGTATATCTGGTATCTTATTTTCATTAATAAGATATCTTGACATGTCACATAGGTTATTATACTGTCTGTCTCTGTATTCCTCAATAAGTGGACAATTAAGCACATAGTGTTCAAGAGAGTGACCATATGCCTGATCACATAATTTACATTTAGTTTGATCATCATCTGTGTGTCTCCCAAACTGCCAGAAGTACTTGTAACCAAGCCTAAGCCTGGCCACTACAACATCAGTCAGTCTGTTCACATTGCAAGTTGCTCCATAAACATACTTATCTACGTTCATGTTATCATAGTGGGTTATAGATCTACTCAGGCTTCTAACTGCATTCCTATAACAATCATTTTCATTATCTACTTCTCTCCTAATATTATTCCTAATGCTAGAACAGTTATACCAAAGTTATATTCTACATTCTCCTTCTCGATACTCTTCTTGGCTAACATATCAACTTTATCATGAAGGAGTAATCCAATGTGTGATGGGATCCATAGCAATTGTACATTAATTCCTTTGTCCCTAATTTTTGAGTATCTATACCTGGCTTCCCCAATGAGCATGTTGTTGGAGTCATTATATGAGCCAAGGGGCCTTCAATGATGACATAGAATCAGTAATGATGATAGAGTCAAGCTCAGTGTCATAGGTTAGCTTTAGCGCCATTAGGATTGCAAACAATTCAGTTTGCAGTGTAGACGCCCAGTTGTTAATTCTTATGCCTAACTCAACAAATTTATTATCGTTCTTAACTAGGGAGGTGGCAACAAGAGCAGATGCAGCCCTGCCAGAAGACTCCTGTTTAGATCCATCAGTGTATATAACTTGTGATAACTTGTTACTACCAGCTAGGTGAGAAATTTCTTCTTGAGCAGTTGCTCTAACAAGAGATTTAAGGAAGGGATTACTAGCAATGGGCTTCTTGGGAGGAACTTGTAGGTTATTATTATTTTTTTTATTATCACACTGGCCGATTCCCACCAAGGCAGGGTGGCCCGAAAAAGAAAAACTTTCACCATCATTCACTCCATCACTGTCTTGCCAGAAGGGTGCTTTACACTACAGTTTTTAAACTGCAACATTAACACCCCTCCTTCAGAGTGCAGGCACTGTACTTCCCATCTCCAGGACTCAAGTCCGGCCTGCCGGTTTCCCTGAATCCCTTCATAAATGTTACTTTGCTCACACTCCAACAGCACGTCAAGTATTAAAAACCATTGTCTCCATTCACTCCTATCAAACACGCTCATGCATGCCTCCTGGAAATCCAAGCCCCTCGCACACAAAACCTCCTTTACCCCCTCCCTCCAACCTTTCCTAGGCCGACCCTACCCCGCCTTCCTTCCACTACAGACTGATACACTCTTGAAGTCATTCTGTTTCGCTCCATTCTCTCTACATGTCCGAACCACCTCAAACAACCCTTCCTCAGCCCTCTGGACAACAGTTTTGGTAATCCCGCACCTCCTCCTAACTTCCAAACTACGAATTCTCTGCATTATATTCACACCACACATTGCCTCAGACATGACATCTCCACTGCTCCAGCCTTCTCCTCGCTGCAACATTCATCACCACGCTTCACACCCATATAAGAGCGTTGGTAAAACTATACTCTCATACATTCCCCTCTTTGCCTCCAAGGACAAAGTTCTTTGTCTCCACAGACTCCTAAGTGCACCACTCATCTTTTTTCCCTCATCAATTCTATGATTCACCTCATCTTTCATAGACCATCCGCTGACACGTCCACTCCCAATATCTGAATACGTTCACCTCCTCCATACTCTCTCCCTCCAATCTGATATTCAATCTTCATCACCTAATCTTTTGTGTTATCCTCATAACCTTACTCTTTCCTGTATTCACCTTTAATTTTCTTCTTTTGCACACCCTACCAAATTCATCCACCAATCTCTGCAACTTCTCTTCAGAATCTCCCAAGAGCACAGTGTCATCAGCAAAGAGCAGCTGTGACAACTCCCACTTTGTGTGTGATTCTTTATCTTTTAACTCCACGCCTCTTGCCAAGACCCTCGCATTTACTTCTCTTACAAACCCCATCTATAAATATATTAAACAACCACGGTGACATCACACATCCTTGTCTAAGGCCTACTTTTACTGGGAAAAAATTTCCCTCTTTCCTACATACTCTAACTTGAGCCTCACTATCCTCGTAAAAACTCTTCACTGCTTTCAGTAACCTACCTCCTACACCATACACTTGCAACATCTGCCACATTGCCCCCCTATCCACCCTGTCATACGCCTTTTCCAAATCCATAAATGCCACAAAGACCTCTTTAGCCTTATCTAAATACTGTTCACTTATATGTTTCACTGTAAACACCTGGTCCACACACCCCTACCTTTCCTAAAGCCTCCTTGTTCATCTGCTATCCTATTCTCCGTCTTACTCTTAATTCTTTCAATTATAACTCTACCATACACTTTACCAGGTACACTCAACAGACTTATCCCCCTATAATTTTTGCACTCTCTTTTATCCCCTTTGCCTTTATACAAAGGAACTATGCATGCTCTCTGCCAATCCCTAGGTACCTTACCCTCTTCCATACATTTATTAAATAATTGCACCAACCACTCCAAAACTATATCCCCACCTGCTTTTAACATTTCTATCTTTATCCCATCAATCCCGGCTGCCTTACCCCCTTTCATTTTGCCTACTGCCTCACGAACTTCCCCCACACTCACAACTGGCTCTTCCTCACTCCTACAAGATGTTATTCCTCCTTGCCCTATACACGAAATCACAGCTTCCCTATCTTCATCAACATTTAACAATTCTTCAAAATATTCCCTCCATCTTCCCAATACCTCTAACTCTCCATTTAATAACTCTCCTCTCCTATTTTTAACTGACAAATCCATTTGTTCTCTAGGCTTTCTTAACTTGTTAATCTCACTCCAAAACTTTTCTTATTTTCAACAAAATTTGTTGATAACATCTCACCCACTCTCTCATTTGCTCTCTTTTTACATTGCTTCACCACTCTCTTAATCTCTCTCTTTTTCTCCATATACTCTTCCCTCCTTGCATCACTTCTACTTTGTAAAAACTTCTCATATGCTAACTTTTTCTCCCTTACTACTCTCTTTACATCATCATTCCACCAATCGCTCCTCTTCCCTCCTGCACCCACTTTCCTGTAACCACAAACTTCTGCTGAACACTCTAACACTACATTTTTAAACCTACCCCATACCTCTTCGACCCATTGCCTATGCTCTCATTTGCCCATCTATCCTCCAATAGCTGTTTATATCTTACCCTAACTGCCTCCTCTTTTATTTTTATAAACCTTCACCTCTCTCTTCCCTGATGCTTCTATTCTCCTTGTATCCCATCTACCTTTTACTCTCAGTGTAGCTACAACTAGAAAGTGATCTATCTGTGGCCCCTCTATAAACATGTACATCCTGAAGTCTACTCAGCAGTCTTTTATCTACCAATACATAATCCAACAAACTACTGTCATTTCGCCCTACATCATATCTTGTATACTTATTTATCCTCTTTTTCTTAAAATATGTATTACCTATAACTAAACCCCTTTCTACACAAAGTTCAATCAAAGGGCTCCCATTATCATTTACACCTGGCACCCCAAACTTACCTACCACACCCTCTCTAAAAGTTTCTCCTACTTTAGCATTCAGGTCCCCTACCACAATTACTCTCTCACTTGGTTCAAAGGCTCCTATACATTCACTTAACATCTCCCAAAATCTCTCTCTCTCCTCTGCATTCCTCTCTTCTCCAGGTGCATACACGCTTATTATGACCCACTTCTCGCATCCAACCTTTACTTTAATCCACATAATTCTTGAATTTACACATTCATATTCTCTTTTCTCCTTCCATAACTGATCATTTAACATTACTGCTACCCTTCATTTGCTCTAACTCTCTCAGATACTCCAGATTTAATCCCATTTATTTCCCCCACTGAAACTCTCCTACCCCCTTCAGCTTTGTTTCGCTTAGAGCCAGGACATCCAACTTCTTTTCATTCATAACATCAGCAATCATCTGTTTCTTGTCATCCGCACTACATCCACGCACATTTAAGCAACCCAGTTTTATAAAGTTTTTCTTCTTCTCTTTTTTAGTAAATGTATACAGGAGAAGGGGTTACTAGCCCATTGCTCCCGGCATTTTAGTCGCCTCATACGACACGCATGGCTTACGGAGGAAAGATTCTTTTCCACTTCCCCATGGACAATAGAAGAAATAAAAAGGACAAGAGCTATTTAGAAAAAGGGAGAAAAACCTAGATGTATGTATATATATATATGCATGTGCGTGTCTGTGAAGTGTGACCAAAGTGTAAGTAGGAGTAGCAAGATATCCCTGTTATCTAGCGTGTTTATGAGACAGAAAAAGAAACTTGTAGGTATGTGATATTAAATGAACACATCTTCCATGGAGGGGTGAAATGCTCTTGTTGCCTACAGTGATACAGTTCATGCAGGTTATAAAACTTAATGCAATTGCACGTTTTCACAATCCATTTAGATCTGTGTGTATTTACCTCTAGACACTTGGTAAGATTCACTGTGACAGTGTCTGGTTCGTTTCTCAACATTCTAATACCGAGTACAGTGTTAATTTCAACAATCCTATCACTGATACTAGAAATACCAAGCTCCTTCCTCATGTTAAGAACTTTTGTAGATCTGGGACAGCCAAGAATAATCCTGAGAGCTTCATTTTGCATTAACTCCAAGGGTCGGAGAGAACTTTCTCTAGCTAATATCAACATGGGAGCAGCATAATCAATTAAGGACCTAACATAGGCTATGTACATCATTCTCACGATTCTCACATTTGCACCATAGTTGGGATTGTAGCCAGCAACAGCTTTGAGAGCATTTAGCCTAGCTTTACATTTCTTGTTTAGTTGTGGTATAGTGGATTTGTTAAAGGGTACATCTACACCAAGATATCTGTAAGTTTTAACGTAGCTAATGATTTCACCCTGCAAATAGATGGGTGGGGGATGTCGTTTGCTTGTTAATATCTTAGTTTTAGAGGAAGATATTATGAGGCCTAGTCGATTACAAATTGCTTGAACTTCATTAAGAATGGTATTCATCTTCTTATGCCCTGTTGTATGGATCATGATATCATCAGCATAGCTTATAGCTATATGTTTAGGTGAGGCAGGTAGAGCATTTAGGAGAGCATTAATCAGAATATTAAATAGCATGGGACTAAGAACTCCTCCCTGCGGTGTACCTAAAGACATTTCTCAAACAGGGAAGCTATAGAAAACGGTGAATTTTTCTTATTACATTCACAAAGAAGCGTAAACCCCATAAAAGTTCTACAACGTATTAGAAATGGGAACCAATTATATTTGACCCGCGGAAGGGAAATGGTAGCCCCAGGAGCATGCCATCATCAACACACTGGTACAAACTTCAGGAGAGAGGTCAGGTGTAACATATCGACTTTTTTATTTTTCAACCGATTACGTTCATTTTTGGTGTACTATGGTGTACTCTTTTCTAATACGTATGCTATTTTATCCCTATAATCTACCTTGTTCATAATTACTATCACATTTCCTTTGTCTTCTTTCGTAAGGTGAAGTCCAGGATCTTTCCTTAATTCATGGTATAACTTAACAAATATTTGATGACCAATGTGTTGTAGAGGTCACAATTGTCCTCAAAGATTTATTAAGTTATACCATGAATTAAGGAAAGATCCTGGACTTCACCTTACGAAAGCAGACAAAGGAAATGCGATAGTAATTATGGACAAGGTAGATTATGGGGGAAAATAAACTTGATATTAGGAGAGAGGGAAACTTGCGTGCCTCTTAAATAAGACACGTGAACTAACGCTGCAACAGATTACAAAACGTTTAGGTCCTGGGACCTTAATCAAAGTCATGAGACAGAAACTTTTTCTAATCAATATGCCGGGCTGTGGTTCGTGCGTCGGTTTGCGTACGGTCAGCAGTAACAGCCTCGTTGATCAGGCTCTGATCTACCACGAGGCCCTGGCATGGACCGGCCACGGGGGCGCTGACCCCTGAAACGCCTTCCAGGTATACTCCAGGTAGTGTATGCTCACGTGTCTTTTTTAAACCACTCGTCAGTAAATAAAAAAATGCACAATACCGTGACTGGAACGATACACAAATAACCCGCACATAGAAGAGAGAAGCTTACGACGACGTTTCGGTCCGAGTTGGACCATTTACAAAGTCACACTAACCAGAAGTGGAGCAGGACGGCTATATATAGGCAGGAAGAGGTAGTGGTGGTAGTAGTAGTGGTAGTAGTGGTAGTAGTATAGTAGTAGTAGTAGTAGTAGTAGTAGTAGTAGTAGTAGTAGTAGTGGGGAACTAAGGAGGAGGAGCCAGTCAAATATAAAGAAAGGGGAGCACTGCAAGGGAGCTAGGTCCCCTTTCTTTATATTTGACTGGCTCCTCCTCCTTAGTTCCCCACTACTACTACTACTACTACTACTACCACTACAATTATTATTACTACTACTACTACCACTACTACCACTACTACCACTACTACTACTACTACTACTACTACTACTACTACTACTACTACTACTACCACCACCACCACTACCTCTTCCTGCCTGTAAATACCCGTCCTGCTTCACTTCTGGTTAGTGTGACTTTGTAAATGGTCCAAGTCGGACCGAAACGTCGTCGTAAGTTCCTCTCTTCTATGTGCGGGTTATTTGTGTACTCGTCAGTATTAAATTACCAAGGTTTATTAATATTATTGTTATAATAATTATTATTATTGTGTATTATTATTATTACTATTGTGTATTATCATTGTTATAATTGTGTTGTTATTATTATTATTATTATTATTATTATCATCATTATTATTATTATTATTATTATTATTATTATTATTAGTAGTAGTAGTAGTAGTAGTAGTAGTAGTAGTATGTACTATTATAATTATTTACTATTATTATTATAGGAAGGTTTACCTTAGGAAAGAGTGGGTGAGACTGCTACTTACTGGGTGGGAAGAGCGGAGTCATGGTGACATTGACTACAGTGAGGTAGTCTTGGCAGGTAGCAGCGTCGTGAGGGGCCAAGCGTGGGTCGCTCGACCAGGAAGTGGCAGGTGTCTCCATTGGCGGCTCCTGCAGTGTGAAGCTGGTCCACAGCGGCACCTTCAGTGCCTTCGAGTACCCTGTGACGTGGAGTAATGGGAGGGGGGCTAAGCGTTATAGTCCATTAGTGTGGGTGGAAATTCAAGCCTCCGTCCCGGTTTCTGACCGGTGTATTTGTGGCATATGAGATAGTGAATAATGGAGAGAGAATGTGAAAATGGGCCATCACTCACGTGCTGTGCTGTCTTCAACTTCGAATTTGCTAGGTAGGTTAGTAAGCTTGATAAGTAGGCTGATACTGTTTGTGCCAAATAGGTTAGCAAGCTTTGTATAAACACAGTAGTCGGTGTTCACCACCTACTCCTAGGCTGAGGGACTGATTATCTCATCTTTTGTATATACTCTCATATTCTTCGCATTGTCCTTGTACTGTACTGATAAAGCCACTTGATGACGAAACGTCTACAGAATTAAAGATACCCCGATGTTACACAAGTGTCTAATTCTTTATCCTAACTACAGTCTTCACTTATCACCTACAGACCTCCCATTACATATAACTCCCCCTTTACCTGCCTTCCCATATTTCTCGTTCCTTTCTTACATATTCAGTATTATTACCTGTGACGTGGGTAATGTGATGAAGAAGGGTGAGCTCAGGGGACGAGGAGTTCTCCGAGGCTGTGAAGACAGGCACTCCCCAGGGAAGGTGAATCTCCTCCGCCAGCTGCTGCTGTGACGTTGTCAGTTCCAGCAACGTCATCCACTCCTGAAGGTGAGATGGAGAGGTGTTACTCCTGAAGGTGAGATGGAGAGGTGTTACTCCTGAAGTTGAGATGGAGAGGTGTTACTCCTGGAGGTGAGAGGGAGAGGTGTTACTCGTGGAGGTGAGAGGGAGAGGTGTTACTCTTGGAGGTGAGAGGGAGAGGTGTTACTCCTGGAGGTGAGAGGGAGAGGTTTTTTACCCCTTTGGGGGTGAGGGGGAGAGGTGTTACTCCTGAGGTGAGAGGGAGAGGTGTTACTCCTGGAGGTGAGAGGGAGAGGTGTTACTCCTGGAGGTGAAGGGAGAGGTGTTTACTCCTGGAGATGAGAGGGAGAGGTGTTACTCCTGGAGTAAAGAGGGAGAGGTGTTACTCCTGGAGGTGAAGGAGAGGTGTTACTCCTGGATGTGAGAGGGAAGGTGTTACTCCTGGAGGTGAGAGGGAGAGTGTTTACTCCTGGAGGTGAGAGGGAGAGGTGTTACTCCTGGAGGTGAGAGGGAGAGGTGTTACTCTTGGAGGTGAGAGGGAGAAGTGTTACTCCTGGAGGTGAGAGGGAGAGGTGTTACTCCTGGAGGTGAGAAGGAAAGGTGTTACTCCTGGAGGTGAGAGGGAGAGGTGTTACTCCTGGAGGTGAGAGGGAGAGGTGTTACTCCTGGAGGTGAGAGGGAGAGGTGTTACTCCTGGAGGTGAGAGGGAGAGGTGTTACTCCTGGAAGTGAGAGGGAGAGGTGTTACTCCTGGAGGTGAGAGGGAAAGGTGTTACTCCTGGAGTGAGAGGGAGAGATGTTACTCCTGGAGGATGAGAGGGAGGTGTTACTCCTGGAGGTGAGAGGAGAGGTGTTACTCCTGGAGGTGAAGGGAAAGGTGTTACTCCCTGGAGTGAGAGGGAGAGGTGTTACTCCTGGAGGTGAGAGGGAGAGTGTTACTCCTGGAGGTGAGAGGAGAGGTGTTACTCCTGGAGGTGAAGGAGAGGTGTTACTCCTGGAGGTGAGAGGGAGAGGTGTTACTCTTGGAGGTGAGAGGAAAGGTGTTACTCCTGGAGGTGAAGGGAGAGGTTGTTACTCCTGGAGGTGAGAGGGAGAGGTGTTTACTCCTGAGGTGAGAGGGAGAGGTGTTACTCCTGGAGTGTGAGAGGGAGAGTGCTACTCTGGAGGTGAGAGGGAGAGGTGTTACTCCTGGAGGTGAGAGGGAGAGGTGTTACTCCTGGAGGTGAGAGGGAGAGGTGTTACTCTTGGAGTGAAGGAAGAGGTGTTACTCCTGGAGGTGAGAGGGAAAGGTGTTACTCCTGGAGGTGAGAGGGAAAGGTGTTACTCCTGGAGGTGAGAGGGAGAGGTGTTACTCCTGGAGGTGAGAGGAGAGGTAGTTACTCCTGGAGGTGAAGAGGAGAGGTGTTACTCCTGGAGGTAGAGGGAGAGGTGTTACTCCTGAGGTGAGAGGAGAGGTGTTACATCCTGGAGTGAAGGGAGAGGTGTTACTCCTGGAGGTGAGAGGGAGAGGTGTTACTCCTGGAGGTGAGAGGGAGAGGTGTTACTCCTGGAGGTGAGAGGGAGAGGTGTTACTCCTGTGAGGAGTAGAGGGAGAGGTGTTACTCCCTGGAGGTGAGAGGGAGAGGTGTTACTCCTGGAGGTGAGAGGGAGAGGTGTTACTCCTGGAGGTGAGAGGGAGAGGTGTTACTCCTGGAGGTGAGAGGGAGAGTGTTACTCCTGGAGGTAAGGAGAGGTGTTACTCCTGGAGGTGAAGGGAGAGGTGTTACTCCTGGAGTGAGAGGGAGAGGTGTTACTCCTGGAGGTGAGAGGGAGAGGTGTTACTCCTGGATGTGGAGGGAGAGTGTACTCTGGAGGGAGAGGGAGAGGTGTTACTCCTGGAGGTGAAGAGGGAGAGGTGTTACTCCTGGAGGTGAGAGGGAGAGGTGTTTACTCCTGGAGGTGAGAGGGAGAGGTGTTACTCCTGGAGGTGAGAGGGAGAGGTGTTACTCCTGGAGGTGAGAGGGAGAGGTGTTACTCCTGGAGGTGAGAGGGAGAGGTGTTACTCCTGGAGGTGAGAGGGAGAGGTGTTACTCCTGGAGGTGAGAGGGAGAGGTGTTACTCCTGGAGGTGAGAGGGAGAGGTGTTACTCCTGGAGGTGAGAGGGAGAGGTGTTACTCCTGGAGGTGAGAGGGAGAGGTGTTACTCCTGGAGGTGAGAGGGAGAGGTGTTACTCCTGGAGGTGAGAGGGAGTGAGTGTTAACTCCTGGAGGTGAGAGGGAGAGGTGTTACTCCTGGAGGTGAAGGGAGAGGTGTTACTCTTGGAGGTGAGAGGGAGAGGTGTTACTCCTGAGTGAGAGGGAGAGGTTGTTACTCCTGAGGTGAGATGGAGAGGTGTTACTCCTGGAGTGAGAGGGAGAGGTGTTACTCCTGGAGGTGAAGGAGAGGTGTTACTCCTGGAGGTAGAGGGAGAGGTGTTACTCCTGGAGGTGAGAGGGAGAGGTGTTACTCTTGGAGGTGAGAGGGACTGGGAATGTTACTCTTTCATCTTACAGTTTCAAGTTTTTTGTTTGGGTGATGATTGTGAGTATATATATAATACATATATATATATATATATATATATATATAATATATATCTATATATATATATATATAATATATATATATAAATATATATATATATATATTATTTTTATTTATTATCACACTGGCCGATTCTCACCAAGGCAGGGTGGCCCGAAAAAGAAAAACTTTCACCATCATTCACTCCATCACTGTCTTGCCAGAAGGGTGCTTTACACTACAGTTTTTAAACTGCAACATAACACCCCCTCCTTCAGAGTGCAGGCACTGTACTTCCCATCTCCAGGACTCAAGTCCAGCCTGCCGGTTTCCCTGAACCCCTTCATAAATGTTACTTTGCTCACACTCCAACAGCACGTCAAGTATTAAAAACCATTTGTCTCCATTCACTCCTATCAAACACGCTCACGCATGCCTGCTGGAAGTCCAAGCCCCTCGCACACAAAACCTCCTTTACCCCCTCCCTCCAACCTTTCCTAGGCCGACCCCTACCCCTCCTTCCTTCCACTACAGACTGTTTACACTCTTGAAGTCACTCTGTTTCGCTCTATTCTCTCCACATGTCCGAACCACCTCAACAACCCTTTCTCCTCAGCCCTCTGGACAACAGTTTTTGGTAATCCCGCACCTCCTCCTAACTTCCAAACTACGAATTCCTCTGCATTATATTCACACCCGCACATTGCCCTCAAACATGACATCTCCACTGCCTCCAGCCTTCTCTCTCGCTGCAACATTCATCACCCACGCTTCACACACCCATATAAGAGCGTTGGTAAAACTATACTCTCATACATTCCCCTCTTTCCTCCCTCCAAGGACAAAGTTCTTTGTCTCCACAGTACTCCTAAGTGCACCACTCACACCCCTTTTTCCCTCATCAATTCTATGATTCACCTCAATATATATATATATATATATATATATATATATATATATATATAATATATATATATATATATAATATATATATATATAATATATTGAGAGAGAGAGAGAGAGAGAGAGAGAGAGAGAGAGAGAGAGAGACTAGGACTTCTATATCATCATTATGTCATCAAGTAACTAGTGACCTCACCTGAATTACACCAGCATCACCTGCGCAGCCAGTAGTAGTGTTGTGTGGTGTGTCAGCACCATCCTTGGTGTAACTAGCAGCAGGAGACTCCACTGCCTGTACGATCAACAACATGTTACACAAAGATCGTGGAAACTGCCACAGTCCACAAAGATCACATTCAATCTATGTTGTAATAACGTTGCTAGAATTACAGATAACATTTTAGATCAAAGGACACATCTGTAACCAATAAAACATTTTACTACTGCAGCTAAAGAGGCATTTTATTGCCACGATAAAATGTATCGTTATTTGTATAAATGTACTTTTGCCTATCCTTCAGTCTATCCTTTCTGAGTTTAGTGGTCAAGACAGCTGATAAGGAATTCTATAAAGTATCTCATCTGTGCTGTCAAATGATGAGAACTTAACAGACAAGAATAATTACAACAGCTTAACATGTGGTGATCTTGTCTGGATCTTGGGAGACCGTCAGGGACGTTTTCTTACACCCGCTGCCCCTGTTGACCTACCTAGCAGTAAGTAGGTACCTGCGTGTTAGTCGAGTGTTGCGAGTCTTATTCTGGAGGAAGAAGACGAAAGGGCTCCAGTGAAAAAAAACAACTGCAGTGCTTGACGTCCTCTACGCACGGTGCCAATCACGAATTAAATCGGGTATAAGATTTTTGAGATATTGTTGTAATATTGCTAGATATAAAGGGGATACTTACCTAATAGGGGTAGGATAGGGATACTTAGTAGGAGTGAGGATAAAGGGAATACTTACCTTGATAGACTCAGGAGGAGCTGGGGGGTCAGCCAGTAGGTGATGGAGTGATCCCCAGCTGCCATTGTTGGGGGCGGGGGTGACGGAGGCGAGGATACACATAAGGTTATATAATTCGATGTTCTGGAAGGGTTCCACCTGCAGCCCCTGCTGCAAGTCTGCCCCGTAACCCACGAACAACCCCTGCGGGAGAGTGGCAGGAGTCAGACGCTACTCGTGATCAGCAGCAGAAGATATAATATTCATGAAGAAACATTAAACTTGTAAGAGGCATACAGCGCCTGAGGAATGAGAGGTAGCAAGGTTCGATCCCCATTCCTTGAATTAGGATCCTGTCACCAAATCAAAAAGCACGCACTTGAATGGTGGGTGGGAAAGCCAGTGTCAGCAGAGGACTGGGGAAATGTTGAGATGAATTAGTCATTACAATGGCGAACGGGACAGCTTCCTTGAGACTGTAAGTGATATAGTTAAGACTGTTGTCTTCCATTATAGTCAAACTACATTTTATGGCATCAATTGTGTTAATGAGCTCCATACTGCCATGTATAGCAACACAGAGATAATAAAGAGGAAGACAATAGAAGTACTGTATAATAGGGCTTATCACTGAGGCTCTCACATATACAAGGGATCCTAAATATATACACAGGCAGCCTGACTTCAGCCACATAATGTAAGTCGGGACCAGAAATTCGGTTAGGTGCGGGGACAAAATCAGGTGTAGGAACAAGGTCAGGTGCAGAAACAAATCAGAAAGGTCCTGGATGGTGAATCAATCCCTGGAAATGAAACTGAGCAACATTGCAGTCCATCCTGGGACAGTGTCAAGCCGAAACGTCGTGGACTAGCAGTGAATTACTCCGCCACTCTACTGTGATTTGTACTGTAATGTTCTGTTTGAGAGTCAGAGGCAGCAGTCAACAGACACTGGAGAATTAAGGACCGACTCCTACTATAGTTTATGTCAGACTCAGCCAACAGGCATCAGAGGTTGCAAGTTACTACTCACATTCATCTCAGCGTTGTAGTAATCATAACCATGCTGGCCCTTAGCGGGAGGCCGTTTACTGACGTTGGGTCTTAAGTCTTGCACATTGTAGCCAGGGTCCAGGTCCAACACCAGGTGGTCCAGACGTCTGTTGTTGCTGTAGTGGAGTCTCTTAGGCAGGTCCTCCAGACGGAACACCCTCATCCCCTGCAGCTGGCACGACAGCCGCTGCGTCAGGTTCAGCAGCACATCTGAAGCAGTTGTATGCTACAGCAAGAACTGTTAACAGAGTTCACACTTGTGTTGTGAAAAAAAACTTCGAAGTATTATTATTACGTATTGTATTATAGGGAGAGCGCTAAATCCGTAGGAGTTTATTCAGCTTCTGGGAAATAAGAGGCAATCAGGTTCGATCCAAGGGAGAGATAATTGGATTCCTTGGATCAAAATTATTATTATTATTATTATTATTATTATTATTATTATTTAGGGGAAGCGCTAAACGTGATGGTCCTGTTGGCTGCTTACTGGTTTTCTTGAAGACCTCAAGAGAAGCGGCAGAGAAGGATATACCTCGTTATGAAGAGAAATGATGGCACCTTCCTGGGAGTCTTGAAGTGAACCAGACAGCAGCCACCAGGGTCATCCTGACTCACTCTGCCACTAAAATCCCGAGCACGAGGAACAAGTTTATATTCTCACCGTGATGAACTACTGTTGTTTACAAAATCAGTGCAGTTACTGCCATCAACAATCTCAGGGCAAACTATTCCTTCGTTAGTTAGTTTAATATCTTTATTATGCACCCCATACCCATGGTGTGGGCGGTAGTCAAAAGATTACAGAGGTACATAATGGGTCCAGGGACTGGACCCCAAAGTTATGATAGCTGAACTAGTTACAAAGGTAATGAACTCCAGGTAGATCTGGTCACAATCATGGCAAGTTACAAAGTTAATGAATCAGCCTCACTCTTATACATGGTTACAATCATGAACAAATTACAAAGTAATGAGCCACGGATACGTCCACACCCGGTCACAATTTTTACATTCTTCATGAAGAAGTTTGTTGGAGCGCTGCATGACCCATACAAGTTTATCTAGCTTATGGCACCAGTGATACAAAGTGCACATTTGAAAGTTTCCTGGAACGCCTCAATTACTTCGTTGCCAGACGTGTAATAACATTTTTTATATATATAATTTCGCCTCGTCTGTATCGTTACTCATTTTCTGTAGCTTAACATAACCTAGTGTGACCTAACTTCACCTAAGTAAATGATGTGTACAAAGTTACAGAGAATGTTCGGAAACTGACGTTGGGAAACACGTCAAGTAACTGAGGAAGTGAGGTGAGGACATTATACCCATCACAACGCTGCTTCCTGTCACGTGATGTATTACTTGTTTAAGTAAACTTCCTGGTACAGCAAGGTATATGAACCTGGTTTCCAAACTTGGTCAACAAGTTTGGCAGCCAGGGTTCTTGCCTGCTTGTGCGTGTTTTTTACCAGTTGTATGTGTGTACTTACCTATTTGTGGTTGCAGGGGTCGAATCACAGGTCCTGGCCCCTCTGCCTCTTCGCTGGTCACTACTAGTCCACTCTCTTCCTGCTCCATGAGCTTTATCGCATCTCTTCTTAAAGCTATGTTTATATCCTGCCTCCACAATATCACCCTCCAGATTATTCTATTCCCGAAGAAATACTTCTTAACATCCCCGTGACTAACCCGAGTCTTCAACTTCCAGTTATGACCTCTTATTGCTGTGTCCCATCTCTGAAACATCCTGTCCCTATCCACCTTGTCAATTCCTCTCAGTATTTTATATGATATCTTCTGGTAAGATGGTGAATAGTCTGGGACCACGGACACTGATACAGTGTTTCCTTATTGTGCCCAGGGTATCCCTGCTTTTCACCGGGTTTATTTTGCACTTCCTCCCATATCTCTCACTCTAGTAGACTGTTACGACAGTGTGCAGATTTGGGACAAGACCATCAAGTACTTTCCGCTCCAGTCCATATTTAGGACATCAAGGCGTTCCTAGTAATATAAATGCTTTACTGGCTCTATGCGAAAAGTAAATATTAGTCCACACTCCAGAGTGGTGCGAGAGCATACAACAACAACGTTAATATCATAGTTATATACGACTGTGTAGGATGCACTAGCCATTGTTATTACTGCTCGAGTTCCTGCTCTCCTCTAGGAACGTGTCCGGATGCTAGTGAAAGACTCCATATGGTATAAACCTTGGTAGATGATACCAACAAACTGGTTTTAAAAGACAGGTGAGCAATGGGACCTTGATCACTTCTAACACACAGTTTAAAAATAATATTATATATAGGCGGAAAGTGAGTTGTGAATGAATCTCGTTCTCTTGCAACCTTCTTCTCAACCATAGGATCTAACCTCGCCAGTAAAATCCCGCGTACCAACACTCGTGCCGAGGACTACCTAGATGGGAATTTCCCAAATTCCTTCTATCTTGTACCAACTGAGCCCACGGAAGTCACTGCGATTATAAAGTCACTTAAAAATAACTCAGGGAATCTGTCTCACGTCCCACCATTATTGTACGAGAGAGCAGCCCATGTCCTTTCGCATGCTGTTACATTACTTTTTAACAAGTCACTAGAAACTAGAAATTTCCCGACACTACTCAAGACAGCAAGGGTTACACCAGTACATAAAGGTGGTGACCCTACAGATGTAAACAACTATAGGTCAATATCAAACTTACCATTGTTGTCCAAATTCTTCGTGAAACTCGTGCACAGGAGACTATATTCATTTATAACGACACAAAACATACTCAAGCCCTGCCAATTTGGATTCAGGAAAAATAAAAACACTAATGATGCAATTATACAAATGCAAGATCTGCTTTACACAGCATTCGAAAAGAACGAATATCCGCTAGGAATTTTTAATGACCTAAGAAAAGCGTTTGACACAGTAGACCACGGCATCCTACTCAACAAACTTGACCATTATGGTATAAGAGGCCATGTGCTTGCAAATTTCAAATCCTACCTTATTAATAGGTATCAGTATGTCACCATTAAAGACACAGCATCAACAACACAGCCACTTGATACTGAAGTTCCGCAGGGAAGTGTCCTTGGTCCCCTGCTCTTCCTCATTTACATCAATGATCTTCCAAACTTATCCCAACACCTGAAACCCATTCTCTTTGCTGACGACACGACTTATGTCATATCCCACCCTATTCTTTCCACCCTCAACACCATTGTTAACGAGGAGCTGTTCAAAATATCGACTTGGATGACAGCCAACAAACTTACACTTAACAAAACCTACTACATTATGTTTGGTAGCAGAGCAGGTGTTGCGCAACTTAACATTAAGATAGACAACACTCTAATTGCCAGACATAATGACGGCAAATTCCTAGACCTATACCTCGACAACAACCTGAAACCCATTCTCTTTGCTGACGACACGACTTATGTCATCTCTCACCCTAATCTTGCCACCCTCAACACCATTGTTAACGAGGAGCGGATCAAAATATCGACTTGGATGACAGCCAATAAACTTACGCTTAACACTGACAAAACCTACTATATTATGTTTGGTAGCAGAGCAGGAGATGCACAAATTAACATTAAGATTGACAACACTCTAATTACCAGACATAATGAGGGCAAATTCCTAGGCCTATACCTTGACAACAACCTGAATTTCAGCACCCATATCCAACATATAACCAAAAAAGTATCCAAAACGGTTGGGATCCTCTCCAAGATACGATACTACGTGCCGCAAAATGCCCTTCTCACACTATACCACTCATTTATCCATACCTCACCTATGCTATTTGTGCTTGGGGATCAACTGCAGCAACACACCTAAAGCCAATAATAACCCAACAAAAAGCTGCAGTAAGAATAATCACTAAATCCCATCCCTGGCAACACCCCCCCCCACTCTTCATAGATCTAAACTTACTCCCTGTTTAGTACATCCACACTTACTACTGTGCAATCTACATCTACAGGGCCTTAAACTCTAATATCAACCTTGACCTAAAACGCTTTCTTGATAGTTGTGACAGAACCCACAGGCATAACACCAGACACAAACATCTCTACGACATTCCCCGTGTCCGACTAAACCTTTACAAAAATTCAATGTATGTCAAAGGCCCTAAAATCTGGAACACCCTACCTGAGAACTCTAGAACTGCAGACACATTCATCACCTTCAAAACTACCATTAGAAAACTTCTTATCTCCCTGATACACCCCGTCAACTAACTACACGAATACCACCTGGTGGTTCACACTTACACTCACTCACCCATTTGACCATAAACAGAAATATTAATCTCAATCTTAAAATAATGAATCCTGTGATACTCCAATACTGAAACTATGTACTGTGCCAAAACAAAAGCATTCACATTGCTAAACTCACAAACTAGTATTTAGTCACTCAGCCATAATACCAACTTACCTCATAATTTGTAATATTTTAAAATTAAGAATTAAACTAAGTCTGCCCGAAATGCCTAGCCATGCTAGGTGTTCTAGTGGTACACTCTGTAATCATTATTTTACTACATGTAAACCACACAACAACCAAATTCTATAAACTCAGCATTGTAATCCTTATAGAGAATAAACTTTGAACATGAATTTCAGCACCCATATCCAACACATAACCAAAAAAGTATCCAAAACGGTTGGAATCCTCTCCAAGATACGATACTACGTGCCGCAAACTGCCCTTCTCACACTATACCATTCACTCATTTATCCATACCTCACCTATGCAATTTTTGTGCTTGGAGATCAACTGCAGCAACACACCTATAACCAATAACCCAACAAAAAGCAGCAGTAAGAATAATCACTAAATCCCATCCCTAGCAACACCATCCCCCCCACTATTCATAGATCTAAACTTACTCCCTGTTCAGTACATCCACACTTACTACTGTGCAATCTACATCTACAGGACCTTAAATTCTAATATTAACCTTGACCTAAAACGCTTTCTTGATAGTTGTGACAGGACCCACAGGCATAACACCAGACACAAACATCTCTGTGACATTCCCCGTGTTCGACTAAACCTTTACAAAAATTCTATGTATGTCAAAGGGCCTAACACTGCTGACACATTCGTCACCTTCAAAACTACCGATAGACAACATCTTATCTCCCTGATACACCCCGACAACTAACTACATGAAAACCACCTGTTCACACTTA